TCTTTAGGTGCTAAAGCTAATAAGGTATGACAATACTGTAAGTCAATATTTTTAATGAGTTTTTGTGGAATATTCAGAGAAATGATAATCCTGCAAAGTAAAAATAAATTTGACTAACAAGTCATTGTGGTAATTTCTCAAGTACCAAGACCAATTACAGAAAATGCCTGGCTGATTCCAACTAATATTCCTGCAGCCTTCAGGTCTGTATGAGCCCATCCACGCACCTGTTCCTTCTAACGTCTTGTCCCCCTTTGTCTCTTTGTCCACGTCATAAGCGTCCTAACCCTCCTTAGCGTGTAGCATTTTTTTTTCTTTCCCTTTATCAAGAATGCCTTCTCAGGTAACCAACTTTCCTACCTCTCTTTGTTATTTCCCTCAAGTGCCACATGTATTCAATCAATTTTCACCCTATACAATAGGAAAACTAATTGAATGACATGATCAATTACTTGGAAGAAATTAAATTATACCCCATCTTTCCGATGCTCCTCAAACTTTGTCCACAATCTCTTTATGCTTGATTGGATCTATCGCTAGAAAAATGAACTGCTTACAGATTCCTCTATTTTAGTTGGTTGAATGAATATTCGTGGCACTTCGGTGTTTCCAGCATCAACAATTCCTTTTGATACTAGCCTTAGTATCATCAAAGGCTTTTAGCTTGTTCGTTATATAAAATGAGACTTTTTGTCATTACATAACAAAAGATTTAACAACAAAAAACAACAAAACTTCAGTTGTCTTTAAAAACAAACATTGTGTTTAAAGTAACAAGATGATACAATACAATAGGTAATAACCAACATCTAAAGTGATATTCTCAGTTCTCATTATAATTTCTGTTATTTCATTAAGATTAGATCTTGTAACGCGACGATGCAGAAGTTCCATCTAGAACTTTCTTATGGAAGTACTCATGATAGTCTTTAACTGCAGTTGCACGATATTTTGGAGGGTTATCTTCTGACAACAATTCAGAAATCGGTCCATAAAGTTTGGAATATGACATTGAATCTGTGCCAAAGAAGCATGGAACTGATACTCTTGGTCCAACTTTATTTGCCAATACTCTGTGCTCCACACTTATGTACTTGTCATTTGATATGAGGTGAAAAAAAGCAACCAAAATAAGCAAATGGTATATTCACTCTTATCGATCGTACATGGATTAGAAAAGAAAAATACTAGCCTGCAGAAGATCTTCAATGTTGACCACAAGAGCACCACACATATGAGGAACATCAAACCATTCCCATTGATTCTGGTAAAGCACTTGGAGTCCTCCGATGTGATCTTGTAGAAGCACTGTGAGAAAATCATTGTCAGAATGTTTGTTGGTGCCTATGGTGAGTTCTGGCCGAGGGCATGCTGGGTAGTAAAGGGCAAAAACACCAAGCCCCTCCGGCAATCCATATTTTTGATATGACAACGATCAAGACCGAGACCTTCAAACAATAATCCAAGCAAGGAATAGCCCTATTCCATCTTATGCTTAGAGTATACTCAATTTTTAGTATTTCCCTGCAACAATATTGTAAAATTAATGAAACACCACATCTCAATTTTATCACCACATAATCCATATTCAATTATTGGTTGGCTTTCTAATTCATATTAAGAACATATACCTACATGGTCTTGGAAATTATTTCGGATTGGGAGGATTAGGAGCCATTTTAATTAAAATGCAATCTCTCCAATTTGCAGCTGGAACAGAAGGGCTATACAAATCAAAATTGCTAGCATGAACCACCTTTTTGTGATATCTCGAGTGTAATACTGTTTCTTAATCTCGAGACTTTCATCTTAAGGATTAGTCTAATTCCAAATGAGAAGCAGGGGATAATATAAATACTTATTACTATTTATGCAAACAGTATAGTTAATATAAATTCCTAATGTCCACAAAAAAAAGAGGTTATAAACAAGGAGATCTTAATGATAAGTTTCAACCCCACCTATATCCCAAAAATAGAAGGCTTATGGATGGTAGACAAGCAGAAAAAAGCAAAAACTTTCGTCACTATATTTAATTGTGTTGAGCATATAATTACGCGTAGGAATAATATCCACGATAAAAAATTTCGTCACTATAGTTAATTGTGTTGAGAACAAGGGAGTAACAAGGCACCAAGTTCTTTTAGCATTGAAAGTATAATACTTGAGCTGAGCAATATAGTATCATTATCATGAGAATTTTAACATTTTGTTAACTGGAAAGACTTACTATATACTTAAAATAAAAATAACCTTCTTTTATTTTGCACACCTTAAATTTTATACTACTCTCACTTCTATTTTTCCTCATGGACTATTTTCTTACACTATATCTGTGGATTACTGATGAGGCAAATGTGTATCAAATTTCGCTGCTCATACTCTGTCATATATATATATAATATACCTGGTGACATGGCACACTCTCACGCTAAAATGAGTAATTATCTTTTATTCTGTTTATTGCATTTTCAAAAATTAGTATTTAACTTCTTCCAATATTTTTGCATCTCTTAAATTGAACATTTAGATTTAGTTAAACCATTTGGTATGAAGCAAAATGTTTCCATGGAAAATATTTTCCTAGAAACTATGCTTTAGGAAAATAAGTTGGTTTCTCACTTATTTTCTCATGTTTGGTTGGGAGTGAAAAATATTTTCTAATATTTGGTTAGTGAATGAAAAGTATTTTTTGGGAAATATTTTTCCATTTTGGCTAGGCTTTCGGAGCAGAACCCGACCCTACACCTGACCCGATTCCCGACTCCTAGTTCAAGACTCGACTTCTAAATGGGGACCGACTCTTGACCTGAGATCCGACTTTCAAATCGGAACACGACCCCGACCCTAACGATGAATCTAAGATCTAATCCAACTACTGAATCAGGACCCCGACGCCAACACCTGATCTAAGATTCAACCCGACACCCTAACCTAAGACCTGACATCTGAACCACGATCTGAATTTCGGATAAGGACCCAACCCCTACACTCGATGCATGTTCTGACTTCTCAATTAGGATCTGACACCCGGACAACCGATTCGGGACCCGGCCCTAACACCTGATCCAAAACCTAGTTTCTGAACTACTATCCACCTCGATATCCAACCTCGACAATTGATTCAGAGCCTGAACTCATCACGTGATCTGGTATATGACCTTAACTCTTGACCCGAAACCCAACCCTGACACTCGACTCAGATCACCACCCCGACACCCAACCTAAAATTCGACCTCGAATGCTTACCAATAAGGTCCCTCAAAACCAGACACATATGGATGGGCTCTCCCCTGCAACAGTGAATAAAAAAGAACTTTAAGACAAACAACATTATCCAGTGAGATAAAAATATCAATATACAGATGCAGATTCATGTGATATACCAACGTGGCCTCCCGACAATGTCACTATATCTTTATCAGAGAATCCTATGTTGTAAAAGAAGTCCCTAAAGGGTATTAGTGAACAAATTAGTAAGTGATATGAAACATCCAAAGAATATGTTTCAAATTCAGAACACTAATTAAGTTTTAAAGCACTCTCGGAAATTACTCCAAGGTATCTAGCAGCCAGATTAGCAATATTTACAATTTTAACTATAGGATATCACCAAGTTCAGTTCAATGTCATTGTTCATAACATTTAAGATCTCCAACAAAGTTGAATATATATTACTTGCCTTTACAAAATTTTCTTCCATAATAATGAACAATATGTTTACAGACGACACGGTAAGTGCATATTAGCAATAAAATCATCTACAAAATAATTGAAATCCGACTTCCACATAGAAGAAAAACCAAGTAAGAATTCTTATACTTAAGTTGTTCAGACACAACATTGTGCAAGAACATTGATGAGGATAATTGAAGCAAACTTCATAGATGAAGCTCTAGTTGACATGTTGATCTCTTGCGAACTTGTTCTTTAGAGCGAGATCCTTTCAAAACTTCTGCATATTTCCCAACTCAGCTTTATGAACATTTTCTTGGTCATGGTTATTTCCTTTTTCTTGAGGTGATTCAGCGAGACATTTTGACATATAATCTAATGAGCCCACATCACTATATCTCCTTGTACGTGTCGGGTAGTTTCTGCTTTCTCCTTTATTATTGGTTGTAGAGCCTAGATCAAATGAATGGAAATCTATAAATTGTCTGGAGATGGTGTTCTTGATCTGCTCTAGGGCCTAATAGCTCCAGTATCTACGACAGACATATCTGAACAGTACCAGAAGAATAATAAGAGCATCTTGTTGCATTCTCTTCAGTGTTGTGAACCATTTCTGAATGATTATGATGATGGTCCTTTCCCCGTATTAGTCTCATAAGCTTACGAAAGATTTTTCTTTTGTTTGAAGTGTCAGTCTTATGGGCTGAAGAATTAGAAATAGAAGTACCATCAAACTCACCTGAATTCATAAGATGTGGTTCTTGGGAGGATAACTGGTTAGAATCAAGCTCCAAAACATGGATTCCCCTGTCCCCTTGGTCTTCTTTAGCTGCATATTCAACAACTAGTTGCTTGGCTTTCTTACTAGATTCAGGGCTTAACGTTTTACTGAGATCCCTTGCAGTTGTTTCACCTAGGGCAGACTGATAGTTCCTCAGCTCATACCGCAAGCAAGCATTTATCCATTTAAGATAGGCTACTTCGTCAACATCACTGCAATGACCTTCTTGAATGTGATCAACTTCTTTTACTAATTCTTCATTTTGCTTTCTCAACTGTATACTTTCTTTTTTCAGTGCTTCTGCCTGTGTCAGAACAAAGGTCAACAAAAACACATGAAATAAACAATGTTGATGAATAAAAGACTTACTAATACATTATCTTCCAGAGCAGAAATGGCAAAGATCTGAAGATATTCCGCATAGGTCCCAAAGATGATGTCCGCATAGGTAAGGTACACAGGAAATCATTTCCTAAAAATGCTACCCGGAGGGCAACTGAAAAGCTCTTTGCCATTTCCTATGCGAACATCATCTTTGCGACCTATGCGGAATATCTTCAGCTCTTTGCCATTTCTGCTCTGGAAGATAGTGTATTAGTAAGTCTTTTATTCATCAACATTGTTTATTTCATGTGTTTTTGTTGACCTTTGTTCTAACAAGGTAGAAGCACTGAAACAAGAAAGTCTACAGCTGAGAAAGCAAAATGAAGAATTAGTAAAAGAAGTTGATCACATTCAAGAAGGTCGTTGCAGTGATGTTGACGAAGTAGCCTATCTTAAATGGATAAATGCTTGCTTGCGGTATGAGCTGAGGAACTATCAGTCTGCCCTAGGTGAAACAACTGCAAGGGATCTCAGTAAAACGTTAAGCCCCGAATCTAGTAAGAAAGCCAAGCAACTAGTTGTTGAATATGCAGCTAAAGAAGACCAAGGGGACAGGGGAATCCATGTTTTGGAGCTTGATTCTAACCAGTTATCCTCCCAAGAACCACATCTTATGAATTCAGGTGAGTTTGATGGTACTTCTATTTCTAATTCTTCAGCCCATAAGTCTGACACTTCAAACAAAAGCAAAATCTTTCGTAAACTTATGAGACTAATACGGGGAAAGGACCATCATCATAATCATTCAGAAATGGCTCACAACACTGAAGAGAATGCACAAGATGCTCTTATTATTCTTCTGGGTACTGTTTAGATATGTCTGTCGTAGATACTGGAGCTATTAGGCCCCAGAGCAGATCAAGAACACCATCTCCAGGTTCATCCAAACAATTTATAGATTTCCATTCATTTGATCAAGGCTCTACAACCAATAAAGGAGAAAGCAGAAACTACCCGACACGTACAATGAGATATAGTGATGTGGGCTATTAGATTATATGTCAAAACATCTCGCTGAATCACCTCAAGAAAAAGGAAATAACCATGACCAAGAAGATGTTCATAAAGCTGAGTTGGCGAAATATGCAGAAGTTTTGAAAGGATCTCTCTAAAGAACTAGTTCGCAAGAGATCAACATCAGTTAGTTTTTATCCGTATCTCATGGATTCTTTCCCTACAAGAGACTTAATAAATAGGTTATTTAAACAATACCTTGATAGGTTTGTGATCTTATTTATTGATGACATTTTGATTTACTCAAGGAGTGAGGATGAGCAGGCCGATCATTTGAGGATTGTGTTGAAAGTCCTCAAGGAACAACAACTCTTTGCAAAGATTAGTAAATGCAAGTTTGGTTAAGTTCTATGGCTTTTCTTTGTCACATTGTCTCCAGCAAGGATATTGAGGTAGATCCTAAGAAAACGAATGTGGTTAAGCGTTGGCCTAGACCTCTTCCCCTTTGGATATTCAAAGTTTCTTGGATTTGGTGAGTTACTTTAGAAGGTTTGTGGAAGGGTTTTCTTCGATTGCCTCTCCATTGACGGTATTAACCCAAAAGAAAGTAAAGTTCTTGTTGCCGAAGCTTGTGAGAAGAGTTTTCAGGAATTGAAAAATAGACTTACCTCCGCTCCGGTGTTGACATTACCAGAAGGTTTTGATGGGTTTGTTGTTTATTCTGATGCTTCAAGAATTGGGTTAGGATGTGTTCTTATGCAAATGAGAAATTCATTGCTTATGCTTCAAGACAACTAGAGATTCATGAAAAGAACTACCCTACCAATGATTTGGAGCTAGTGGCGGTTGTTTTTGCCTTAAAGATTTGGAGGCATTTTTGTATGGTGTTCATGCTGATGTCTTTACCAACCACAAGAGTTTGCAATATGTGTTCAAGCAAAATGATCTAATTTTTTTGCCAACGTAGATGACTAGAACTCTTGAAGGATTACGACATGAGTGTTTTCTATCACCCTGGTAAGGCCATGTGGTGGCGGATGCTCTTAGTCACTTACAATGGGTAGTGTTGCTCATGTTGAGAAAGATAAGAGAGATTTGGTGTGTGATGTTCATAGATTACCGATTGGGTGTTCGGTTGGTTGATTCTAATTAGGGTCGTGTTATTGTCCATAATGGTTCACAATAGTCATTTGTGTCGGATGTGAAAACTAAGAAAGGTCTTGATCCAATTTTGATTGAAAAGAGGAAGGGCTACTTAAAAAAACCGTTGAGGCTTTCTCCCAAGGGGGAGAAGGTAACTTGCATATCAAGGTTGTTTGTGTGTTTCCAATGTTGATGACTTAAGGGAGCAAATTTTATCGAAATTACATAGTTCTTGATATTGCACTTACCAAGGAGCCACCAAGATGTACCATGACTTGCGGGAGGTTTATTGGTGGAATGGGATGAAGAAGGATTTGCGGAATTTGTGGCTAAGTCTCCTAATTGTCAACAAGTGAAGGTTGAGAATCAAAAGCCAAGAGGTTTGTCCTAAGATATTAGTATTCCTACTTTGAAGTGGGAGGTTTTGAATATTGATTTTATTGTTGGTTTACACCCGCGATAACATGACTCGATTTGGGTAAATATAGACCGAATGACAAAGTTAGCTCATTTCATTCCCGTCAAATTTTCTTATTTGGAAGAAGACTATGCTAAGTTGTATCTAAGGAAGATTGTTAGGTTTCATGGAGTGCCCCTACCCATTATCTCTGATCGCGGTACCCAATTCACTACCCTACTTTAGAAGTCTTTCCAAAAGGGCCTTGCTACTCGTACTAAGCTTAGTATGTCCTTTCATCCTCAAACCAATGGGCAAGCAGAGCGTACTATCCAAATTTTGGAAGATATGTTGAGAGCTTGTGTGATTGACTTTAAGGGTGATTGGCATGATCATTTTCCTTTGATCGATTTTTTGTATAATAATAGCTATAACTCAAGCATTGGTATGACTCCATTTGAGTCTCTTTATGGTAGTAAGTGTAGATCTCCTAAGGTTGGTTTGAAGTTGGTGAGGTTGCTTTGATAGGTACTAAATTGGTACATGAGGCTATGGACAAAGTTCATCTTATTGGAGAAAGGTTCAAAATGACTCAAAGCCGACAAAAGTCCTATGCCGATGTTAGAAGAAGAGATCTTGAATTTGATGTAGATGGTTGGGTATATCTGAAAATTTCACCCATTAAGGTGTAATGAGATTTGGAAGAAAGGGAAGCTTAGTCCCTGTTATGTGGGCCCATATCAGATTATGAGGCGTATTGGTAAAGCTGCTTACGAACTTGATTTTCCTAACGACTTAGCATCGGTGCATCTAATTTTCCATGTCTCCTTATTGAAGAAGTGTGTTCGTGATCTGACAACCATTGTACCATTGGGGAGACGTGGTATAAAAAGGAAAGTCTTTCTTATGAAGAGATTCCGGTTGAGATTTTAGACCGAAAAGTCAAGAAGTTGAGAAATAAGGAAGTCGCATCCGTGAAAGTGTTGTGGAGCAATCAAAGGATTGAGGGTGCTACTTGGGAGGCCGAGGCTGACATGATGTCCCATTATTCCTATCTCCTTCCCTTCGATCCTACTCTAGCTAAAGGAATTTAGTTCCTCATGGTTCATCCTTCTTTGTCTCATATGTCTTAATTGTTCTCATGTTTCTTCATGCGTGTATACTCATTAAAACGTAATTATCTTTTTGAGAAAGTGAGTTAACTTGACTGATTTCTCCATGATTATGTGCATTTGAGTATGATTTGCATGTTTGCCTTATGTAATAATGTTTTGATTATGTTTGATCTTGGAGTTGATGTTCCTCCTTGATATTCTGTGTTTTGAATTAGTTGTATTAATGTTAGGCTGTTAAATCTTTACCCCCACCCTCCTTATGATTTCTTGAGTTCCATTCTAGGACGAATGTTCTCGAGGGGAGTTATCGTAACACCTCAGATTTAGAAAATAAGGATAATAATTTTTTGGGTTGCAAGATGTGTCTATGGTTCCCATCTACGGATCGTAGAAGCTTCTACAGGCCGTAAATGGAAACCATAGGAATGGGGAATAAATTTTTGAAACTAAGTCTCAGTACCCTTTTCACGGTTCACCAGGACGGTCCGTTATTCCTTGTACAAGTCGTAGTTAGGCCTCGTAGGTGAGTCACAGACTTAGTGAAATTTTAAGGGTCAAAGTAGGGTACTGTTGGTTTTTACAAACCGTAGGAAGACCTACGGCAGTAGAAACATTCCGTTAAAAAAAATGGTGAAATTTTGGTCCAGTATTTGGTCTACGGTTGACCAATATGGACAGTAGAAAGTCCTACGGTCCGTAGGTCCGAACCATACGTTAAAGTCCAATAGTTATTTAAAGGGGCTTTTGGGTCTTCTCCCTAATTTTTTCAAATCAAAACTACGTTGTTTTGCCTTTTACCCTATGCCCTATATAAAGGTCTTAAGCCCCAAATCATCCACTTTCAAATCATCTCCTAAATTCCCTAAAACTCACCAAAGTCTTCCTCTCAAATTCTCTCAAGGCTAAGGAAGAAGAAGAAGATCTAGGGTTCCATCCAAGTTTTAAATCCTCCATTCTTCTTAAGCAACCTCTAGTCCCAAACTGTGTGCCCCCGTAGGATTATCTTAAATTACCTAGCTAGTGGATCCAATTTAGCAAAACATGATATGTACATATTCTACCTTGGCAAGTGGTTTCCCCTTCTTTCAGTATGAGAGATATACCGATTCCATGATATAGCTCTCATGGTCTTATTGTAGGTTAGAGCTAAAAATCCCACGAAAATGACTATGTTTTCTTCAAAGCTTCTCTTATGTCCTTTACTCCAAATGCATTGACTATATCCTATAATTTCCATGTTTTATTTCCTTATGTTAAAATGTCAAATTATTGATCATATCTACATGTTTTAAATCATTTATACTATCACGTTCACGTTTATTCATATTACCCCACACTTAGTACATTCCATGTATTAATGCATACTTGTGCCTATAGTATCTGATGAATGTAGTGTTCAACGTTCTTACTCCATACACTCATGGCTAGATATCACCTGGGTTGTTCAGTTGATTGATGAGTCCTCATTATTCAAGGACCGAGACACCGTTTAGCTTTGTCTTTTCATTTCAAACTCTATAAGTGATCTATGGGTTAGTCTGAATCTCTTTCCTTATGATGTATTCGATGGTTTTAAGATTTATGTTAGACTTATGCTTTGTTAGACTTTTGATATATTAAATGCTTTCTTTCAAGTCTTTACTTTTATTATCTTGTATGATGTATTGTAGGTGGATTGTTTAGGGCCTCTTGGGATCTTAAATGTCATGTTACACCTATGGTGTACCCTAGGGTCGTGACAAATTACTTCTTGTAATGACAATGTCATCAAAATATACAACAAGACGGATATTACCAATTGTTGATAGAAAATTGAGTGATCACATTTGCTCATTTTAAACCCAAATTCACTACCTCATTGAACTTGCCAAACCAAGCCTGAGGACTCTACTTCAAGCAATACAAGGACTTCTTCAAATGACGGACTTTCCCATACTCCTTTGGTAAAGAAAACTAGGTTGTTGCTCCATTTATAGTTCCTTTGAAGATCAACCTGAAGAAAAGTATTCTTGATATCCAATTGATGTAAAGGCAACTCTTTGAACAAGCTAGAGAAATGAATAAGCGAACTGGAAAGAGTATAACAACATGAGAAAAGGTCTCTGAATAATCCACTCCATATGTTTGAGCATACCCTTTAGCCACAAGTCTGGCCTTAAGAATACTTTCCTACATGGTGATCTTCAAGAGGAAGTATATATGGAGCACCTACCTGGTTTTCTTTCTCAAGGGGGGTATGGGAAAGTCTGTCATTTAAAGAAGTTTTTGTATCGCTTGAAACAGAGTCCTTGGGCTTGGTTTTGCAAGTACAGTGAGGTATTTCAAGAGTTTGGGTTGAAAATCAGAAAATGTGATCACTTAGTTGGCAATCAACAACTGGCCCT